GTGAAGCATTAATACTCCTTCTGCAATTATTATATCTTCTCTTTATGTCACGTCTACATATCATTATTGCCTTTCGTTTTTGAACTGCAGTTTCTTTTTTCCCTTTGGCTGTCCCTAGAATTCCTTGAATGGATAAAAGTGTTGTCGTTAAACATGTTAAATTTCCTCATGCTTTGAAATCCTTTCTCTCTTTTCACTTGGCATATGCTTCTCCTATATTGTGTCCCAACTACACAGCTATGTTTATGTAGCTAGCAAAGACCCACTTAATTGTATTGTTCTGGCTATAAGTAGATGTCTTTGTGACCGGCCTACTAGGTGGAGTATGCACGTTGTTCAGTTATATTTTATGCTACATCATGACATCATCTAGAAGTTATTCTTTTTCCACATAGTACATCTTACTGTTCAATATTCACACTATACAGCTTTACTTTTTAGTCTATTAAAATAAGTTCATTTGGAGGTGATCTCGTAGTTCTTGGTCTGTGAAGATGCGAAAATCGGCCTTTTCTTACTCACAAACAATTTATAGACTCCTAACATCTTGTTTTGGGAGCTTGGAAGACTTTGCTTAAAATACTTTGCCAAGAGAACTTAGATTATAAGCTCTTGAGCACCCGATAAAGTATTTTAAAGAGCTTACACGTAACAAACTTTGCCACACGTCCTTTCTCTTTTATTCCAATGTAATTGATTACTCATTAATAATGCATGTCGAAATCTAAATCTTTTCTAATTGACTTCTATTTGTGATTTGGACAAACCTCAATGAACTCCCCTTTAGTGTCCAGAAGTTATTGCTGGCTGTATTGTATGTTTTGCAAGTTAATGAAATCTAGATTGTATTTGAACAGGTACCGACTGTCGCTTTTCTCTCGTTGGAAACAGAGGGGAATGTATGCAGCTTGCATGTGGACTGCACAATTGCTTCTGGTCCTTAGCAAAGTGGATTCAGTATTCGTGTACATTCCTGAATATTACCTAGAAACTGTGGTATTGTTTCTTATCTTGACCTTTGTAATGTCACGTTATGTTTTCTTTTGGTTGATATTTTAGTATTTTGCTTCATATTTCTGTACCATCATATTATAGTTTCACTACCTGGCTATGGTTTTGCATCATCAGCATAGGTATCAGTTTCATATGCTTGGGAGAGTTATAGTTTCTATATAAATGTCTAAACGATGTCTTATTATCTTTGATGACCTCTCCTTTTTAATATCTAGGCATCAATAAGATCCAGATTTTGTTATTCTTTTGTTGTTATATATACAATCTGACCCCACATAGAGGGTTAAATGCTTTGTGTTGCTATTTTAGTTGTGGCTTTTGGACAAACTCCTATATACTAACCTTTTTACTGATTTTAACTTTGAATAGAGATGTCCATGGAATCCTTGTTAACATCCTTTGCCTTTGCAATTTGTCAATAATTTTACCTTTGATATCATTTTTGTCGTTTCTGTCAGGTTGATTGCTTTCATGTACTGCGTAAGAGTGATCCTCCATTTGTACCTGCTGCAATTCTTATCAAGCAAGGACTCACATCTTTTGTATGTCATTAACTGTTCTCTTTTATCTTTTATTGCATTGTTTATGTGAATGATCTCCCACCACGAACTCATATATTTCAACACTCTCTCTCTTCTCTCTCTCGCATTTTATCTGTTCCTAAACCAGGTTTGAGCTGACCTTGAAAAATTGTAAACTAATATGTACATAATTTTGGTTTTAATTTCTCAG